AGTCATGAAACTCCTTTTGCTGACTTTGGCTGTACTGCTGCTCTTGTCCCAGCTCACTCCAGGTAACTTGTACACCTCTTCAGGGGAGGAACAGGGTGTGGGTACTGAGGCCTGGGCACAGAATCCCAAGGGCAGGGAAGACAGGCTGCCAGGCCTCAGGTCACCTTTGGGAGCCATGTGGAGGAGGTGCCCTCACCGGCAGCAGGTGACAGATCTCAGGTACCAGCTATGACATCCAGAGCTTCTGGCCAGCCACCCATCCCTCCTCTCCCAGAGAGCATGCACAGCTGGCCTAGCGTGTGAGAAAGAATGAAAGGGGTGGGCAGAAGAAGCAAGAAGAGAAGACAAAAGTGGCCCTTTCGCAAAATACTTCCCGGAATGATCTAGACTGTGTAAAGATCACAAGCATCTTAATGGGAAACAAAAGCTCATATTTACTATTGCTACCTCTGTGCCAAACTCTGTGTTGGAAGCCAGGACCCCAGAGTTACATGACAGGACCCTGGGTGAAATGATAAATAGCATTTGCAACCTCGAGTGACACGAGCTGTGCTAGAGAGGAGCCAGGACATTGGAGTGCACGTGGCAGGAGAGTCCCCTCCTAGTGCGATACCCCGAGTTCTGAAAAATGTGTAGAAATTAGAAGGAGAAGAAAAAGAGGTGGAAGTAGGAAGGGTGCCCTGGGCAGAAATCGGCTTATGCAAAGGTCCAGATATGGAAGAGAGCATGGTGACTCCAGGGAACTGGCACCAGATGGAGGACTGGTTTAGAGGCATGGCAAGGGGTAAAGCTGAGGAAGCAGTCAAGGGCCAGGTCTTGATGGGCCTTGAATGCGGGTGAGGGAACCACAGGAAGGCTTAAGCAGAGAACCATCATGGTCAGACTTTTCTGCTCCACCAACTCCAGCACAAGCTCTCTGGCCCCTGCTGCTCAACGGCCGGAAGCTCCTGCCCACACCAAGGTTTTGTCTAACCTTTCCACAGGGTCAGAGTTTGTGAATTTCTTCAAGCAAGCTGACCTCAGCCCTCCTATTTGCCTCTGGCAAATGCCTAGAACACCACCCACCTGGAGTAGAGAGGAAAACCCCAGAACCTAGGTTGGAAACTGCCCTACCATTTTCTATCACTGTGACCCCAAACAAGCAGCTTGGCTACTCACAGTTTCAGTTTCCTCATTTCTCAAACTGCTACAATTGTGTGTGTGTAGTAATAGCGTGTTGTGGGAATAACAATGAACACACTAAAATTTTGGTGTGCAAAAATATATAGTTTCTTGATTTTCCATAACTCATCTGAACTTCCGTCCTGCTGGTGGGACAGTTGGGGGCGGGGCCGGGGAGGACACTTAGTGCTGTGCCTAAACTCAGCAGTTAAATATTCACCCTTTCTGCTTTAAAGTGTTTCCAAGTTAAGTCAGTCTCTTCTGAATAAATTTCCATTTTCCCCACTGTCCTTCCCACAATAGTATCTGGGTTTAGGAGAAAGTAACTTGATATGTCATGATTTCATTAATCTGTTCATTCAGTAAATATGGTTGAATAAATCTGATGTCCAGGCACTGTGATAGGTACAAGAAATAGAGCCATGAACAAATCAGAACAAAACAAGCAAAATCTCTGTCTCTTTAGAGCTTATATTCTATTGAGGCAGGCAGAAAAAAAAATTTTTAATGAGTGAAACCTATGGAATGTCATGTGATGAGTATAATGAACAGAATAGGCAGAAAAAGGAGATAACACATTCCAGGGGTAGGATGGGAGTTGCTATTTTAAAGGTGCACCCAAGGAATGGGCTCACTGTGGCCTGAAGGAGGATAAGGGGTGAGCCAGGTGGATTTATGGAGAAGAACATTAAAGCTGGGAGGAATATCAAGTACAAAGGCCCTGGGGCAGAAGCATAAGCAATTAGGGTAGGGACCCGTGCTAGACCTTCACTGATTTCTGTATGTGGTCATTGAGCATCCTGCTGGCACTTTCTACTAGATCCCATGGCTGATGAAATTCTACTCCTGTAGAGAGTCCCACTGCCTCAAGCCCTTCGTCTCAGCCAAATCTTCCATCTGGTCCCTGGGGTTTAGTCTATTCACACACCCTCCCATTGCCTTCTGCATAGGGGTATACTCCTGGCAGATCCCTCAGGTTTTTAGCTCCTCACTGGTTTTACTATCTCCACAAGAGACACAAGAGAACTTGGAAACCTTCTAGATCTATGTTATGCTGTAGGAGGGCAGAGGGAGATACTCAGCCACCTCCAGATGGCACCATGATGTGCTGTGTCCAGTCTGTTAGCACTTTCCCTGGGCTACGCTCTAAGAGGCAAGGGGTCAATCCCTCCTGCCCTGGAAGTTTTTCCAGACCAATTTGTAGCAAAAGATCCTCTTGTCCCTGCTTTTCCCACATTAGTTATCTCTATGTCCTAGGGGTTCAGGTCGAGGAGCAGGCCACTAGTGGGAAAGGATTGGAAGGCCTTGGTCCCTAGCTTGCCAGTGGGCCCATCATCAGCCTGGCTGGCAGAGGTGAGATGTAGGTTCTAGTAGAGCTCTCAGGCCTGTTGCTGCTGTTCCTACAAGAAGTGGAGTCAAGCGCCCACTTGCCCCAAGGGAGAGCATTTCTCTTCTGCTTTCTATGGGGTGTGATGGTGTTTACAGAAATTGAATGGAACTTTTCTCTAGCTGGACCCTCAGCTTTTCCTCCTGTGACTTATAGTGAGATAGTATTATCTGAATCCACCAGTTCTACCAAATAATATATAAAGGAACTCTTTGAAATTGGAAATCCTGACTGTTCTTGATAAATTTTGGCTCTTAAAATTGTCTTGCTGTGAACTAAAACTACTCATCTCATTTAAGCTGAGCAATCCTGACTTTCTGATTCTAACTGTTGTTTACCATTCTTCTAAAGCTCGGAAACTGCATGATTCTGTTTTTTGGCAACCAAAGGGTCTCATGATTAAAGGAGAATGAAATATATATTACCTTAGTATTTTCAAAATATTAAAAAGTTAATTTGTAAAAGTTCAGAACATATATGTAAAGCCTAAGAACCCAGGAGATATTAGGTTTAGGTGGGATATGTCACCTACTTTTCTGGTATACCTCCTCATAGCACCCAGAGTTCTTCCTTTATATCTTTCATGACAACTCTAGTCAGTCAAATATCTGGATGGCTATTTCTTTAGTGGCTATCTCTCCCAGCACTGGACCAGAAGTGCTCTGAAGGCAGGCGTCTATCTCTAACTTGTTTGTAGTTGTATCCCCCATGTATAGGCTTCTCAGTCTATTCACGTGCTTCCCAAAGGTAGACAGACATCTAGAAGGGAAATTGCTAGATAAAGACTGTGCACAATTTTAAAATGTATAAGTTATTGCTAAATAGCCTCCAAAGAGGCCAAAACAAAGTGTATGAGACCAACTTTTCTCTCTCACCAATAGTTCATCTTAACACTCTTGAATTAAAAATCGAGATTTTGTTGGTAAATGGTGATGTTTTCCTTTTTTTTTTTGTAAAATAAAACATGGAATTACAGATTCTGAAAACCACATAAAACAAATGTGCACTTTAAGGAATTCTTATAAAACACACACCCTTGTAACCACCACCCAGGTCAATAAACACAACATTGACAGTCACCCCAAAACCCCTCCACCTACCCCCCCATCACAACTGTCTCCTTCCCTTGAATTAAGTACTATACTCACATTTATAGCAATGTATTATTTGTATTTCTTCATATCTTCATTGCTAAGACACCCACATCCCTAGACACCCAATTTTCGTCATGCCTAGTTTTAAAATTTGATATCACTAGATATTCTTTTTTTTTAATTTACTGGTTACATCTTTATCCCTTTCTTGTCTTTATAATTGATTGTTGAAATTGGTTCATTTGACCTAGTTTCCCACAGTAAACATTTTTTTATTACATAAATTATTTTATTAATTTGTAAATAATTCTATGAGGTAACTACCATTATTATCTCCCAATTTATGTATGAAGATTGAACCATAGCAGAGTTGACCAATTAAATTGCTAAATTAATGAGCAATGGGTAATGAGTAATCCCTCCTGTGTGCATTATAATATGTGCTTGAAAACAAGATGTCTCACCTCAAGAATGGGTTGAGGTGAGGGTGAGTGATGTCTGGGAAGGAGTCTGAGGGAATAGAGGAGAGGGTTAGTTACCATATCTAAAAATAGGTCAAGAGGCCAATCTGGAGGTGGCCTGGCTTCAGATGCCTCTCAAATTCAATCACGTGCTGGTATGAGTTTACCAATATTCAGAGTGAATGACCAAGTTTTCACTAAACTTCCTAATTCAAAATTTTTCTGACAGCAAAGAATAAATGATTGTTTACCTGCTTAATAATCTTTTTGTTTGTAAGGGCTGACTTCTTGAAAAGCCATGCAGGACTTCTTCTTGGGTTCCTCCTCTTCCACCATTTCCTTAATGACTTGATTGATCACCAAGATATTTTATTGCCACTCAGGACATGAGACAAATGTAGACAGAACAGTTCAGTCCAAAGGAACAGATTTGGCTGATTGCATACTCAAGGTGAATTTCAACGTGTTCCACTGACCTCTGTATTTCCTACAAATTGGTACCTGGATCCAGAGGTTTAATCAGACTCAAAACTTTTTGGCAAAACTTTTGGTGTTGATAATGTTCTTTCATTGGGAGGCACATAATATGTTTGTTGCCTCTGTTTTAGTGACAGTTATAGTCATTGATGCTCAAAGCCTGGATGCATTAATTCTTTGGGCATTGCAAAATGGTAATATTTTATTATGTGATTTTCACTAGTTAGCTGGAATACTAATATAATAAAGACACTTCTGATTATCTACTATTTGTTTATCAGCAGTACAGTTTATATGGGAAAGAGAATAGATGCTTGATTTTTCTTTTTATATAAATCTGCAAGATAATGATTTCTTTTCCTATTATCCTCCAAATGTGAAAAAATTGTTTTTAATATCATCATAAGCTCATGGATTTAAATATATTTGATGAACGTTCATTCACTGCAGTCTTTACTCTTACTGAAACTCACCTTGTCTTATCCTTGACTCGTGGGAGCTTTTTTAATATGGCGCCTGAGCCTTATTTGACATCTCTGCTAGTCCTTGATAGTTTCCCTGTGATAAAGTCCATCTTATAAACATCACAATGGACACACCGGCAGTCAGACAGTGTTAGATATATTAACATGCGTCAGCAAAGGAAAATACACACCAGAGGAACCATGGGTCATTGGTAACTATAGGATTAAGAAGAAGGGCAGAATTTAAGTAAAAATGTAAATGAAGCAGTGTTTGATAGACTCCAAGGCAAGGGAGGGCCACAGGTCGGTATGTAAAAGGGTTAACATCTGGCCTAGGCTGAAAAGTGGGTTCAGAGTCCCATTTCCAGGGAAAGTACAAAACTAAGAGAGATGTAGCATTTTGTATCCCTAAATCTTTTCTCTGACCCTCTGCCCTTGTCTCTGAAATCAAGGCTGCTTGTCTTCATTGAATGACGCCCTTTCTCAGGGGAGAATGTAATGTTCCAAACTTGCTGGTATAATTTCAAATACAAAGTTTCTAACAGGTTGTGATTTGAGGAAACCAGGCTTCTTAGCACTTTGTCATTTTCTTAAGTAACAAAAGCAGTTTCACTGGTTCACAACTGGTTATCTGGCATAGACTACCTGTTCTAGGCTCATCTTATACAATTCTTGCTCAGATCTTGAATTAGCCATTTCTTCAAGAAGCTCTGATTATTTTTTAGTAGGAAATGGTATTTCAGAACTATGATCTAGTGGTAGAGGTATTCAGTGCTACTAAATTGATCCTTCTTTCTTTCTTCATCTTTTCAGTAGACAGCTAGACGGTAAAGTCAACACATTTAAATGTATATAGAAGACCTCATGAATTAATATTGATTCTTTCTATTCAAAGTGAGGACTACAGGATTTATACTTAAAATATTCCATATTATTTCTGTATTTTCCTTCTGCACCAACATTCTCAGATACACTGCGAACTCTTTTGGCATTTTCAAGTCATCTGTTATTTAAAGAACATTTTCTAGAATTATAGTTTGAGTATTTTTTTTCTGATAGCTTGCTTTGGTTTTCTTTCTCAAGGTCTCATCTTGTCTCTACGTTAAATCTCCTTTGCCTCTCTTAATATGTGTCACTTGCTATTGAATTTTTCTTATTGTTTCTTTTTTGATCAATTTTACTGAGTTATAACTTTCATAAAATAAATAAAATAAAATTTCCACATTTTAGGCACACAATATGAGCTTCAAAAACTGTGTACATTCATATAATGACCACCACGATCATAGTATAATACATTTCCATTACCCCAAATAGATCTCTTCCACCCCTTTGCAGTCAGTCACCTCCGCTGCCTCCCAGCCACGAGCAACCACTAATCTACATTCTGTCACTTTAGCTGGCCTTTTCTAGGATTAGAAAAGACAAACGACAATCATTTTTAGCCACAGGAAATGCTATTGCCTTCTGGCAAGGAAAAGCATCTAGCCAATCATAGAAAAGGCAAGCAATAATAAATACATATTCAAATCCTTGAGGTGTAGGGAGTTATATAGGATCCCCGAGATGGTGGTTCCTTTTCATGTCCCACCCTCACTATTTTTCCAAGGTTACGAAACTGGCTTGTGGTACATATACTGAAACTATCCTCGTGATTCAATTAAAACTTCTCCACCGATATTGTCTTAGAATAGTTTTTAAGTTTTCTTTACTGAGAAAAGAAGAAAAAACTGTGACGTTTTCTTCATCAAGCTCCATTTCAGAGAGTCCAGAAACACCAGGTGTCTCTATAATACATCTAATTGAAGTGAACATCTAAATTTCTCTCAATGTATTTTTTCAGAATCTGGTGCTTATGACTGCAGTTAGCTCAGGTTCCAAAGAAGTTTTAAAATATATTTTTTTTAAAAAGTAAACTTCTGGCTCTCATACCTATGTAAAAATGGACATGTGTTAAAGATTTCATTTAACTCGTAATGAGAGAACAAGGCAGATATTATAACTGGGTCAAAGCACAAATATATATACGGAGTAAAGGAATGTCAAAATGAATTTACAAATAGATAAAAATATTTTGCAGGAGAAGGAAGGATATCTGTTGAATCTCTATGGAACAAAACATATTTGCATAGATACAGAAAATAATGATTTTTAAATTACTACCATTTATCAACAATTCATAGAGTTGTAAAATAACACTCACATAATCAAAATTAGTTAACTCTGAAGGTTGTGATTTATCTAGATCAGGGACTCTTGACACTTTTGGCAATTATTGACATTCTGGGCTCGATAATTCTTTGTTGTGGCTGTCCTGTGCATTGTAGGATATTTAGCAGAATCCTTAGCCTCCACTCATTAATTGCCAGTAGCACCCCTCACCAGCTGTGACAACTAAAAATATCTCCAGACATTTCATTGCCAAACATCCCCTTCGAGCAAAATCACTCCAGTTGAGAAGCACTGCTCCAGACAATGCAAGTTTTCCACTGAAGCACAAAATTTCCCCCATATTGGACAAAAAGATCATCTCGAAACAATTTATTCCTGATCATAAAATAAACCTAGCCTAAACCATCAGCAGAAAGAAGGAAATAAGAGTAAATGACAAATTAATGAAATTGAGAATAGTCATGGCACCAAACCGTCTAAACAAAATAGTTTAACTGACTCAGTTACAGACTTTATTCAGCTCATAGACATTAGAGAGACCATGAAAACCAGAGTCAGAGCAGTCTTGGAGTTTCTATAGAAGAAAGAGAAGAGGGAGGTACATGTTTTTGTTGCCTCAAGTAGCAGATTTCATCTTTAACTGCTAAAAACTTGTGGATGGAATAGTTGGGAACTGTTACAGATCTTTAAGCTTCTTTATTGACAGCACTGGTGCAATCGCATCCCCAAAACTGTCAGGACTATTCTTTTAAGAGCTATTTTTGCCAGCTTTGTAGTTTGTCAGTTAGTCAAGATTCTGGGACAGGAAATGTATCAAAAATAATATGGATGGGTTGTTGCCTGGGGCTGGGAGAAAGCGAGAATGAGAAATTATTGTTTAATGGGTATAGAGTTTCAGTTTTATAAGATGAAAAAGAGTTCTGGGGATGGATGGTGATTGGTGGATGAAATAAAAATAAAATTATGAAGAGAGCGGCGGAATGTTAGCAAAAATCACCAAAAAATTTTTTTAAAAAGCAAGATATGAATGGACCTTAAAAACATTATGCTAAGTGAAAGAAGCCAGACACAAAAGACCACATATTTTATTATATGATTCCATTTGGCATAAAATATACAAAGTATACAAATCTCATAGAAAGGATGGCAAATGGGTGGTCGCCTAGGGCTGGGGGTAGGGCAACATGAGAATACTTAATGGGTGCAGAGTTTCTGTTTGAGATGATTTTAAGTTCTGAAACTAGTTGGTGATGATGGTCATACAACATTGTGAATGTACTTAATGCTCCTGAACTGTACACTTTAAAATGCTTAAACTGGTGAATTTTATATTATTTGTATTTTACCACAGTTTTTTAAAAGGGAGACGGGCGGAAAAAAGGGGAGACAAAGGAGATCAGGGTTAAAGGCAAGGGAAACTAAGGACCCTCTGTGACATCCGTTTTAATCCTTTTACAGACCTTCCAAATCCAGCCCCTACCTCTTCTTAAGACTGACATCGTCTCCTTTCTTCTTTCTCTTTTGTGTCAGGTGACAGCCAAAAATGCTGGAATCTTCATGGCAAATGCCGTCACAGATGTTTCAAAAAGGAAAAGGTCTATGTTTTATGCACAAATAATAAGCTATGCTGTGTGATGCCCAAGAAAACTCAGCCAAAAGAAAGTCCATGGTTATTTTGAGTTCTCTGAAGCCTAAAGCTATGAAAACAGATGAAGCTATTTTGAGTCCAACCCCAGTGGATTCCTGAGTTTGATCAATAAACACCTCTGGCTGATCCCTGTGTTAGTCTGTCAGTCTATCCCAACAGGTCTCTGGAGGTCCCCTTTCAGGTGGTTTGTGAAATCAAAACTATTTTCATAATAATAATAATAAAAAAATACTATTTTCCTTTTTTCAATCTCACTCTCTAACAAGAGTGCAGTGGAATTTTCTGGAATCTACATGATATATGATGATATCATTGCCCTCTAATGAATGGTGTGGCTATGTATCTTCATATTTCTAGAATCTTTTAAGGTAGAAGAGTTAAAGTATAAATGTGTACACTTTCAGGTTCTCAGTAATTCTACTGTGCGCTCACTCGATATCTTTAGTTATATTATTAATCTTATTATCATCTAATAAATTATTACTTTGAAATTCCAAAATTTTCCTCATATCTATTCAACAGACTACAAGAACTAAGAACATTTTGTTTTGGTTTGCAGAGGTATATCAACAACCAATATCAACTAGCTAACAGAAGGATATGTTCTCCCTGAGTGAAAATAATAATTATTCTAGTCTCTACAGTCCTTTTAAATACAATTTTTAGCACACAATAAAAATAATAAGTCATGCACAGAAGAAGCCACAGATTTAAGAAACTTAGTGTAATCAAATAGCTAATAGACAAAAATAAAATACTTCTCGATACCTGTGAATATTAAAAAAAAAAAAAAGTTCAAGAATTTTATGGAGAAAATTAGAAACTCTTAATGAAAGACAATATCAAAAAGCCTAAATTAACAGAGAGACATATCAATTCATGAATTAGAAGACTCAATATTTTAAAGATATTAATTCTATCCTAATTGTTTCCTAGATTCAATGAAATTCCAATCAAAATCCTAACAAAATTTTTTCCATAACTTGATCAGGTGAACATATAAACAAATATCATGTTAGGGACATAGACACAGATGACAAAACTATCAATAAAGCACAAATTTAGGTTAATGGCTCACTCTAAGAACATAGAAAATGGAAGAAGTAATGCTGATATTCTATTTTCTTTATCTGGATGGTAGGTATAGAGATATGTTATTGTTTTTTATACTTTAATTTATTTTTAAATATATATTGCCCTCTTGATATATAATAAAAATTGAGCTCTAAAAAAGATAAAAGCTATAAACATTAAGTGCTTTAAGAATCGTAAGGCTAGAAAAGATGAAAAAGCTAAATCAGTCAAAAAGGCCTAGAAAAGAAAATATTTGAAAATTACATGTCCTATACAGGATTTTTTTTTCAGAATATGTAAAGAACTCTCAAAACTCAATAATAATAAAAAAAATCCAACAACAAAATGAGCAACACTGTTGAACCAACACCACCAAAAAAAAATACATGTGGCAAATAAACTCATGAAAATTTATAAATATTAGAGAAATGCAAATTAAAATCACAATAAAATACTACTACATACATATTAGAATATCGAAATTGACGGTAACAATTGTTGATGGGGAACAAGTGTTGGCAATTGGAACTCTCATACACTGCTGGCGGGGATGTAAACTAGTATAACCACTTTGGAAACAACTGGGCTGTTTCTTAAAGAGTTTAACATACCATATGTTCTAACCATAAGTGTACTCTATGATGTTCACACTATAACAAAATCACCTAACCACACATTTCTCATCCTTAAGAGACATGTGACTATATTGTGAAGCTAAGAATTTTTTTAGCATGTCTTAGATCTACTTAACCACAATCCTTGGAAAACATATATTCATATGGTCATTTAGTTATATATATACAAGTATTTATTGACCATCTACTATTTGTCAGGCACCGTGTTAGTCTTTAGTAATAAAATGGTAAATAAAACAAATATGGGCTTTGCCATTGTGGAGTCCACAAACTGTGCAGGAAAAAGCATTAAACAAGAAATTAATTCATAATTACAGATGGTGGTAAAGGCTATGAAGAGTATAGTAATTTAGAATAAGGGTGGGGGAATTGCACCCCTATGAGCTATCAGGGTAACCCCCTCTGAGGAGATGGCATTTGACCTAGGATCTGTAGGATGAGAAGTCATATTTGCAAAGACTTGAGAGGGAGTTTGAAGAATATTCCAGGGAAAACAGTATGTGCATAGGCCTTTGGGAGGAGGGTGGTTTGCTCCAGAGACCAAAAGAATGGCGTATAGCTAAAGCCCGGTATGCAAAGGAAGAGAGATACAAGACGAAATATGAAGCAAGCAGTGTGGTAGATCCCACAACACTTTGATGTTTGGATGTAAACATTTAATACTTTATGTATTAAAGTAGAAGACTGCCTACCTTACCTTTAATCACCTCTATTTACTCAGCTTCTGTTTCCTTAAATTATGCCTCATTCCGCCCCTCCTCCCACCTCCACCCACCCCACTCTTCAACCTTGACTTTTACTAAAGCATCTTTTCAGCTTCAGCTTCAATTATAAACTACTTTATTCTCTGTATTTCCCAATTTAAATCCTCGTAACAGAGAATCTGATTGATCCAGTTCACCATTTTGTGCCACCCATATCAAGTAGAGTTCACTGGCCAGCCTATGAGATTAGTTTGGTTTGGGGAGGTGCCCACCTCTTGTCCAATCAACTGTGTCTGAGGCACAGGAGAAAGGGGCCTCCTGGTCTGCATATGACTGTCACTTCAGCCAAGGCTGTGAACAGGGATAAAAGAGTATAAATGGATGGGACATGCACAGTGTCCTGTGTACTCACATTTCTGTGTATCCTTGCAGTAAATTTCTATAGGAAGGAATATGTCTGCTTCTCTCCTCATGAAACACTGAGTCCTTATGCTTAGAGGAAAATGAACATCGATAAAACATTGGCCTTCTTGATGGAACAGGATAGCTCCTCTCTCTATCCTCTCTGAGATCCCTCTAATCTGTTGGTGAGAGCTTGACATTCACTGGGTACTATTGGACCCAATCCTCCCTTTTTATAATAAACATTTTGCAATGCCTCCTTTTTCTATCCTGAAATAAGACTTATAAATATTTTAACCTATCTACTCACATAATTTCAAGAAAAATCAAATTAAGAACTATAATGCAAATGAGAAAAGAAACTTTTATAATAATATGTATTTTGACATGTAAGTAGTACATTTAAAGACCTAAGAAATACTCATACACAGCATGTGTATCTATACACAGTATCTATACACAGCATGAGTGTAACAGCCACAACTGTAGACTCAAACTGGTGTACTATGTGCACACCTCAAATACTACACAAAGTGTTTGCTATCTGTGTCCTGACTTTCCCAAATGGTGAACAGCTTGGGCAAAGTCTTAACCAGAATAAGGTATAATCATCCCTTGATTTACACAGTTTCATTTCAGGAAAATTCAATGTGCGACAAATACTTGCAAGACAGCCTTAGATGCTGGGCTCAGAATTATAAATGGGTTCCTCACCTACATAAATGTCCAGCAGGACATTAGAATTTTGAGAGATGGGTCAATACTTCATTTCCCAGGACAGTCACACACAGTGCATGCCACTTAACATCCCTGGTCCCCAACCTACTAAATTCAAGTAGAGGCCCCATTAATTTTGACAATTAAAAAAAATGCCACCAACAATGTCCCAAAACAACCCCTAGAGGGCAGTATCTCCCCTTTGAGAATCATTGATCTAACCATTAGTAGAGTCCTGTGGACGGGCTAACTCTGAGACATACGAAGCTGCATCATAAGCACAGATAACTTACCCAAATTCAACTACATATGCTCAGAAAAAAAAAAAGAGAGAGAGAGAGAGAAATAAGTTTTTTGGGAATCTTTTCAACTTTTTCACTCCCTTTTTAAATCAACTTAGTTTTGTCTTTCTGAAACTTCATATAAATGGAGTCATTCAGTATGTACACCTTTGTACCTGGCTTCTTTTGCTTAACATAATGTTTCTGAAATAAATTCATGTTGTGTGTATCAGTAAACTTTTATTGTTGTTTATTGAGTATGCTTGTATCAGATGGGTGTAACTCAATTTACCCATTCACTTGTTGGACATTTGAGAGTTGTTACCAGTTATGGGATATTATAAATAAAGCTGCTATAACCATTGAGAAGTCTTTGTATATACATATTTCTATTTAACATCATAAGTAACTCTGCAACTGTTTTTCCAAAGTGCTTGTCCATGTTACATTTCCATCAGCAATGTATTAGCATTCTAAAATTTCACATCAGCATTTAGGTCAGTCTTTTTTATTTTAATCATTCTACTGGGCATATAATGATATCCCACTGTGATTTTAATTTGCATTTACCTGAAGGCTAATGACTTTGAACATCATTTCATGGGCTTATTGGTAATTCATATACCTTCTTTTGTAAAATGTCTGTTTCAATATTTGCCCACTCTATTATTGGATTGTTTTTTTCTTACTGATTTATAGGAGTTCTTTAAACATTCTGGAAATGAGTTATTTGTTTTATTTATATATATATATATATGGAATATATATATATGACATATATGGAAAATATATATGACATATATATATGGCAAATATGAGCAATAGCTGTCCAAAGAAGCCAAAAGATTCCCTCCTTGAGCCAGTGCCTGAGTGAGCGGAGGTGGGAATTGTCTTCGTTCCTGTGCAGCAAAAGCACCAGGCAATGAAGGCATCAATCGGCATCGTGTGCTTGCCCTGTGGAGAGACATTTCTTTTTTATAAAAATGGCTCCTAAATATACCCCATCAGTTCCTCTGGTTTGATGTGTTCCATTGATGGAGGAAAACTTGCTATATATGTCGGTTTCCATAAAGGCACCTTCCTGAGTGATTTTCAAGGGTAATTTGAGCCACATGTGATCGTTGCCTGGCTCTCAGACATAAATATAGCCCTGGTACAATAAGCAATTCCATTCTACTCTCTGTCATGGAAAACCCAGGTGGGGAAGGGGGTGGGGAG